ATGGGGGGAACAAGGACAACGTAAAGGCAGGATAGAAGACGAAAGAGGCATAAGAGAAGCAGAAGAGGAAAGAAAGTATTGAGAAAAACAAAAATTAAAAAAATAAAACAGAAGGAGGAAATTCAAGAAAAAGGGGATGGGACAGACGAAAAAAAAGGAGACAAGGAATGTGGAAGAGAAGGAAAATGAGAATATAAACTAAAAGAAACTGATGGAGCGAAAGAGAAGAGATGAAGCTGGTGTAGATAACAAAGCAAAACTCCTGTTCGCTTACACGGTCTCTGTTTCTGATGACGTATGTTTGAAGGGGTCACTTTCATCTTCCGGTCTCACCGCATGTTTACTAGCAATATACTGTGACGTGTATGGGTTACTTAAACATTGCTGCTTAACGGGAACGTCACATCAATCAGGAGTACCTTCTCTTACTTCTTGTACACAGAGTTCTTATCACACGTCGGCCCGGTGAAATCAACGGGACATGCAAATAGTTACGACAGGTGGCACATACTTCCCAGAGAGATAGGATGGGATGGGATGGATTGGATAGATCTGGCTTAGGATAGGCACCAGTGGAGGGCTCTTGTGAATACGGTAATGAACCTTCGGGTTCCATAAAATGCAGGGAAATTCTTGAGTAGCTGCAGAATTGGCGGCTCCTCCAGAAGGGCTCAGCTCCATGAGTGAGTAAGTAAGTAAGTAAGTAAGTAAGTAAGTCACATACTTCCAGAGAAACACGTTCTTTACTCTACATATAGGAATAGGTCAACAATTCGAATTATAATTACTTATTATAATGAGTAAATTTTCAAGGTTTGTTAAACAAACGGCGATTTTAACTCATGTATATGTAGATATTAATATCGCTGCTATTCCAGAAAAGCTTTTCAGGATGCCCCACATATGAATATACTGCACATATATTGCCAATTGAGTAATATTCTATTATTTGGCCAAGTAACGCCGCATAATGATCGCTTTGTGCATTTAGTACGATGATTCAAACTCAAAAAATGTATACGATTAAAAACAGAACATGTTACCTTATTTCTTGAAACAGAAATCAGAGTCCCAACTTTCAACCGCATTTCTCATATTATCAGACTTATGAAAGGATAAACTGAGTCCACAAATTCTAAACTTTTAAAGCCCTGGAAACGAACCTAGGGCATCCGCATAAATGTTACAATGTAATAATATATACTATAGAGATATATACGAAAATGAAAATTGTGGTAGCTCCGGTGGAAAACTGTTGCTATGAACAATTTCAATCTAATCTTTTTTCCCCCGCGGGAGATGGCGCGTTATTCCTAATAAAAACAGTAGAAGTTTGATTTAGCATAAAGAAAATCCAGACCTACTACTTAATTACATCCCATCCGTTGCATTTATGGAAAGAAAATTGCTACCAAGACGAAAATGAAATTACAACTAAATAAATTTCTTTCATTTTCCCAAGGGTCTGGGTATGAACGAAAACTAGTTGAAAGCCAGTAGGCCAGTACGTCAGGCACAGTATAAACAATGCTTTAGACGTGCCTTTTCCCTTTCGGTTGGCTGTACAATACTTGGGCTGGGGAATTGCATGTCACGTCGCCCTCTGAAGAGATGAACGTGGAAACGGCTGTACAGTGAGCCCCGAAATACACTCATCTCACATTTTGCATCAGGAATATTTCCCACTAGCTTCTTGTGAAATAATTAAAATACATTACAATATAATATTATTAGTATCTTTTTTCCTTTGGCGCTACAGCCCCAATTTGGGCCTTGGCCTACCTCCATGAAATTCTCCGTTTCATTTCGGTTTACTAGAACTTCGACATTCGGTAGGACTCCTTGGGAGGGTTATCAGTTCGTCGCAAAGCCTCCACCTGTACACAAACACAGAAAAACGCACATACAAACACAAACACCAAACATATATGCCCTGAGTGGGATTCGAACCCACGATCCCGGCTTCCAAGCGAACGAAGAAAGTACATGCCGTAGATCGCTCGGCTACCGTGACCGGCAGTGTATAAGAATAATATATAAGAATTCAGTTCGTACCTCACAGGAAACAGATCTGAACCCACGATCCAGGCTTCCGAGCGAGCGAAGAAAGTACATGCCGTAGATCGCTCGGCTACCGTGACCGGCAGTGTATAAGAATAATATATAAGAATTCAGTTCGTACCTCACAGGAAACAGATCTGAACCCACGATCCAGGCTTCCGAGCGAGCGAAGAAAGTACATGCCGTAGATCGCTCGGCTACCGTGACCGGCAGTGTATAAGAATAATATATAAGAATTCAGTTCGTACCTCACAGGAAACAGATCTGAACCCACGATCCCGGCTTCCGAGCGAGCGAAGACAGTACATGCCGTAGACCTCTCGGCTACCGTGACCAGCATTATTAATATAGGTATGACAATTATTGTCATCGACAAGGTTTAACCACCTGAACGGGTATTATATATTCCTGTACTACACATAGTAACAGCCATACAACAATAAATATCCCATCCATTATTATCATAAAAATTATTTTACATTTTTACAGGAATGACGTTCATTCTATCACCAATATAAACTGGGAACAAGCATCACTACATCCATTTGCACGCCTGTGTGTAACTTCTCATACAATATAGAACAGGAGAAAAGCATGATCGTCGAGATGACGTCACTACTGCAGCTCTAGTCCGCATTAACCTGTTAATAAAATCCTGGTTCCATGGCATTAGAGACCAGGTCTTCAAATGTCATTCGCTATCCTCTTCTGTCTCAACTCCATAGCATTCTCGAAACGTTGTTCAGTTCACCTGATATCAGCCTCTAGTCTTCCCGGCTCAAGATCAGTCAAATTGGTCCCGCACTAAAATTAGGTAATCGTAACATACACACACGCTTGTTATGCGTCCACACACACGTATCCCTTCGCAGCAGTTCAGGGAGACCATTTGTGGAGTGAGGCGAAGAACTGTCTTTCCTCTGTGACCGAACACTGGCAACTGCCGCGTTCCCTGATTCACCAGTTGAGACAGTGAAGCTACAGCAACTTCATAGATTGAAACTCATGCACGTACATTAAATGAATGATGAAAATGTGCCCCATCAGTTCGCATTACTTATAAATAAATCGTATCAAACGCTGTAGTTGAATGGGGCAAATAAAACAAAGCTTCATCTGAAAGAAATGTCAATTTGGGATCAAGTTGGTCATGATGGACTAAAGATAGGATCTACAGAAATTAAGTTCGGTTACTGGCTAAATACACTTGGGTAGACCATAAGAGAAAAAAATACAATTTAGTAGTATTAAAAACAGAAGCCATATTTGTCAAAATTTGGAAATATAAAATCAGGAGTATTTAAAGCGTCGACATAATGGGAAAAGAAATATCTTTAACTCCAAACAAATTCCGTGGCCTGTAGTCCGCAAGTGAACTATACAGACCGAGCGACAGCCGCTTGTAGGCGAAGTTAGTGCCAAATTTAGGGGATAAATGGTGTCATGTGGTCAGCGCAACGGATCCCCACGGCCGTAAAGTTCAGTTTTCTAGACCGGAGCCGCTATTTCCTTGAAATAGATCCACAATTATCCTCACGAGGCTGAGTGCACCCCGTTCCAGATCCAGTATTTCTCAGAAAATCTAGTAGCGCCGGGAATCGAACCCGGGACCTCTGGATCTGTGGCCGGGAACTCTGATCATTAGACCACAGAGGCGGTCGAAATATCTTTGACACTATTTAAAAATGCCAAATCACACCGATTAGGCAACTAGGAATATCTTTGAAAATTACTGGATGAATGAGGCCGGGACGGGTCTACAGATGCCCCAACTCCTTACTTGTTGGCTGATGAAAATCAACAAGTTTTGTATATCGTTAACCTATTTCTCTTTCTTGCGGGTAATTTGATCAATACCTATTGATTCACAACTTTGTGTATTTTCAATTGACATTAATTTCAACCTCAAAAGAGCTCAGCTACTAGGATATTAATCATTCAGCTGTACACAAAGTCACTGCCAGCTTTAACTAGAAGCGAAACAAGCCACAGCTTAGGGCCTTGCAATCGAGAAGATATATAACTGCAAAGCAAACAGAACATTCTCTTGTAAAACTTGGAAGATAACAAATGTCCAACTGCACCTTGTACACATACAGGAATTAAATTTAATTACTTTCCTTTTAGAAAATATGGCCTCATCTTTATCATAACTTGGGGCCTCGCGAAGTCGCAATACGGCCCTGCATACAGCGCAACCTTCCCTGCTCTTTACTCTGTAACGATCGTTATCCGTAACGAACCGCAAAATAATTTCAAATATCAGCTCACGAAATTTTAAAACACCTCACAAACTAGACGGACAAACGTATGATACAACAGTATACGGATATGTTGAAGGAAGCCCCGGCTGCCACACTTTAATCACCGCGGCCGGAGCAACTGCACCTGCCAACAGCGGCACATTTGACTACTCCGGTACCAGAGAAAACGACGAGTGGCTCTTACTGTGTACATCTACGTACGTGTACATGTAGTCATGTTTTTACTGCTTTGACATTATGTGATGTATTATATACGCTGAATATGTATTTTTCGTTGTTCTTAATATCTCCGTCGTTCCCTATAAATGACTCCTACTATCACAAATCTTATTCTACCCGAAACGACTTAGTTCACCACATATTCGGATATGGAGTGCCCCTCTATTTTTCTGCCTACCCGATATTGGTAACCCGAAGATGACTCTACAGTAAGTCACAGGTAGGATTTGTCCACCTATTCATAACATTATGGATATTAGCAAATATACTAACATTCTGATCTATCACCAAGTTCTATGAACATGGTTAAAGTTTTAACTTGTGACAACCCGTAAGATTCAATATTCCCTTTCCTCGCTCCCACGCTTAAACAAACGCAAGTCACATTGATATATCACTTAAGACAGACTTGGAACTTTAATAAGTTAAATATTTTGTCATATCAATTTTACTCACCTAGATATGACGACGCTTTGATGCCTGATGCGACGGACTTGGGGTGATACTGCTCGGCCAGCATCTAGTTTGTTATAATGTAATCCTCTAGGATGCAACAATGGAAGTAGAGCTAGTGGAGATAATACACTTCCGGAATTTATTTCCAAAACAATACAACGCCAACAGTGGAACTTCCTTTTGTTTCTTCTGGGTGGCAGAGAATCTTGTGCTTTCAGCTGGTAACAAATGACGGTGCTCTTGTTAATATTATTGGTCTTGCAGTCTCTTACACTTTGAATAAGACGGCTCATGGGTGCACAGAAGTATACAGAAATCTGCTACGCAACACAGATCTTTCACACTAAAACCAAATCAAACCACTATTTGTTTCACTGATTTATAATTCAATGACGAAGACATACAAAAAACAAAAATGTCTTCAAAGAAGCTTCATTCTTCGCACAGCATAATTTGTGTTACTAAAACATTTGTAACTTGTTCGTATATTTGTTATTTCACCTACAGTTGGCGCATATTTAAAGATTAGAAACAAAAACTGCAAAAAGAACTTTCCAGAAAAAGATCTTAAAAATTATTTATAGAATGCCCTTTACTTTGTGTTAAAAATCTAATGCTCATATTAAAAAAAAGGAAAAACGAAATAACACGTACTCAACAGACACACGGGCAGGAAACGCGGGAGCAAATTCGTCAAACACCCAACACCTTGGCTAGTCACCGTGCTACTGGCCACGCGCTCGGAAAGCTCCACGTTCAAAGAGCTTACAACGGCAGAGATGTCTCTAGTAAACAACATCGCAAGCAGGGGAGAATCGACGATTTGAGCTTCAAGAAAGATAACAGTCGCAGAGTGGATGGTTATTGGGCGCGCAGTTTGATGCTATAATTCAGCTATTTGCCGTTCTAATCTGCATTTTTGCGCTATGTACTGGCTAATAATAGCGTGAAATTCTTACTGTGTTATGCTATGGCATCAATTCCCCATGTTATTTGAGACAATTGTCGGAATATATAACAAAATTGACGTGAAAGGAACAGTGTTGATTAATTTATTTCTTAATTTCCTCCACCGCAAAGGCCATGGTTCAATCCCAGGTCACGTCATGTGAGATTTTTGATACATAAAATGACACTAGGACAGATTTCTCCGAGTACGTCGGCTTCCTATGTCAATTATCACTTCAACAACTGCTCAAAATTCTCTAAACATCCTATCATCTGACACTACATGATACTGATATTGACAGCGTCGTTAAATAGCCATCTTAAGAACCTTTCTTATTTCCTGACCTGAAGACCTACCTATTGATCAATGTTTTGTTTTGTTATAATCCATTTTCTCATTTCTTTTTGTTTCCCCAATTTCCTTCTTTCTTTCTATCTTCCTTCGAATTCTTGTAGCTTGATGTACTAAATTTGTATAAAGACATGAGAGAAATACATGTAGCAGACAATCAGTATTATTTTTTATTGCTAGTGGGGTGGGACTAAGTCCCTTGTACTGCGGCCACTTCTGGCCTATTTTACCAGCCCCAGATGATAGGTGAGGGTGATTGTGGAGCAGTTGGTGGAATGAAGATTGGCAGGGGAACCGAAGTACTCGGAGAAAACCTGCCCCAGCACCACTTTGTTCACCACAAATCCCACTTGAACAGACCCGGGATCGAACCCGGGCCGCCTCGGTGGGAAGCTAGCGACTAACCGCTTGAGCTATGGTGCGGCCAAGACAACCAGTAAGTATGGCGTTAAAATCTATAAGATGTAATTCTTCGGTCCCGTCAAATGCGCCAAGCTTTAGCACTGCCTCGTTTATCGAATAAGCCACATTGCCTTGCTGACTCTGCCGCAGTTGAGACGCTGAAATAATAAAGATCATTCTGGGAACGGACCTCAGGCTAAGTCTAAAGTCTGATGGTGTATATATGCAAGAAGTGTGGAGAAATGAGGTAGCCTGGTGGGGAGGCAGAACAGAGTACACGTCTCCTAACAAAACTGGCCGTTTGCCCGAACGCATACTCAAACCGGACTAAAAATCAACAAATTTCAGCAGTGCCAAGTGCTCAGCGTAGCCTCCAAATCACAAACCCTCATACAAAGAAGTGAAACAAAAAGGCATGCAAGCCTGTATTTGTTGTCTTTTTTCTTTCTCACACTAGTTCCTGTTATTCTAAACCGAATTCTAGCCCTAGATCTGGAATTAAATTTGAAAGGTAAAAATAACGAGATGACAAGGTACATATGCTTCAGTCCCTGAAAGTCTTCAATCTTTACACGCTCGTAACTTTGCTGTTCTCTTATTTGTTTCCCTATTTCGGCGTTCCATAACATTTTGGTTTCTGGGCTTACAGTAATAAATTTTAAATTTTTACGCGTTTTGGGTGAAGTATATAACGTGAAAACATGATGAAGTAAACCATGACAATGACGATGATAATTCAATCCAATTCAGTTTTTATTTATTTACATGCTGAGCAACCCGAAGGTCAACTGCAAAGTAAGTACAAAGAAAAAAAGAAAGAAATTAAACACAAGCAAACAAAATACAAAAAATACAATTTCTATAATAATAATAATAATAATAATAATAATAATAATNCACAATCACCCTCACCTATCATCTGGGGCTGGTACAATAGGCCGCAGTACAAGGGAGTTAGTCCCACCTCACTAGTAACAAAAAAATATGATTGAGGAGTGAGAAATGTTAATTGTATGCATTTAGAAGTCGAGTCGAGTCTTATTTTACGACCGACGGTCAGTCGACCAATCTGCCTTGGAATAAAGCACCCATCTGGGGCTTACGGCCAGATTTTTATTACTGTCAGACAGTTGAGGGTTTTTTGATGTGGGGCACTCTCTCTGACGAGAGGACAGATCTGTCGCTTACAACTGCTGCTGGCCCTCGCCAGCGCAGTCATTCTCAGGTCCGAGTCCCGTGGGTCTCGTGACCATATTTTACTGTCTCAGATTCGATACTTCCCTTTTTTGTCACCTCCTATGACTCGCAGCGCTACGATGAAAATATTCGACCCCGCCTTCACACGGGATTGTTGGCTGGGTCCGGTTTGCTCCTAGGCAGCTCGAATAACCCCCACCCACCCAACAATGCATTTGCTCCTTTGTTGTGTATTTATTGCCGCGGAAACGTATTTTAACAAGGCTGTTGTTTAAATTGACACCTAACAATTTTTCTACCCTTGCGTACGTGTGCGTATTCGTTGCCGCAGAAACCTGTTTGAGAAGACGTTGCCCAGCAATTGACTCCTCGACTATTCTCTCACACCGAACTATTAGCTTCATATCAGAATATAAAATTTACATATTTATAATTTTCATTTTGTAGTTTGACGGTCTGCAACACGCACTCAGCACTTATGTAAATAAACAATATACAGAAAATGTATTTCGAGTATTCATCCTGCTAGGGCATTCACCGCGTAATAAAAGTAATAATAATATTGTCACTGTTTGTGTGTGTGACTATAGATGGGGTTCGGATTGGTGAACCGACTTAAAGACTACCTATTATTAACTACACTTTAAAGATCACTGAAACACACAGACTAGTGTCCACATTCTATTCCAATCTCCACTAGCCGTTTCCTTGCAACGGATTTTAACAAAGGAACTATAATAGCCTCACTGAATTACACACGCCAGATATCACGCATATAATCTTACCTTCATAGAAACACTCTTGCAACTAAATGTTTTCTTCACAAACTTCCGTACAGACCTGAAATCTTAACTCATAACTGCCTCTCTCTCTCTCTCTCTCTCTCTCTGTCCTAGCGTAAGATTCTCATTATATAGCTGCAGCACAGACAACCTATTGTTGCCTGCATTCGTTGTTGCGTGAATGTTTACGGAGTCGTTGCCTAGCAATGACGACATTCCTCTATTGTTACAGAAACTGCCCAAATGCCACAGTATTATAGTCACAAACACTTAACCACTAGAGTAACAATAGTGGAAACGTATTTCAGCGGATTTCTCCACAAATTTTTCCATACGCCTTCTTCGCAATTTTTGTCTGCCTGTATTATGAACTCAATGGTGTATATTGCACTACTGTTTAAGGATTTTGTATCTACAGAATCTACAGATATTTCAGTACACATACACCAATATCCGATACGCCGCAACCCCCCTTAAAGCGAGGACGATACGGTTTATTCTGACTCATATTGTACCACAGCTACAGAGTGAAATTTCCGAATTATTCATTCCCACACCCTTCAACCCGAAGTTAATCTCCATCTTGTCTCGCTTCGTTTGCACTGTAAATGACATTTATGTAGAATCATTTCCTCACGTAATCACCATTACTAAACGACATTAAGGCATTAAAAGCAACAGCTATTCGGTTAGGTGGACCTTCTGACGTCCCTAGAAATCTGTGCTAAATCTCATTATAAATTTGCATTTACGAAATACAGGGGCCTTGAACGGAAGACCTTAGATTAGTAACAGGTGCAGATACAGTTAGGGTGATCACGTTAAGAACAAGAGGGGTGGAACGAGTAGCAAAGCATATGGGAGATAAGAAATTAATATAAATTTGTGTCGAAAACTTAGAAGGAAGAGGCTGCTCTGAAAATCCACATTGAAGAACAATATTAAAATGGAACAGAAATAATAGGATGTGGAATTGTAGAGTTGATTCCATTGACTCATATACGTTCTACTGATGGGTTTCTGTGAACACGATAATGAAACTGTGTGTTCCATCAAAAGGTGAATATCTGCTTCTTTAGGACGATTGTATGTAGTTAGCTAACACTGTTTCTTGGAGAAACGAACTTAAGAGATACAGTAAGTCTGCAAACCTATATTTATTGTTATTTTTGTGCACAATTAGGCCTACACGAGAGTGCGAATATAAAATACGAGGGAGCATTAGTAAATAAGATACAAATGGAAATAGAACAGCTGTAATATGTTTTTATGTGTATCCAGCTTCATGAGAGTCTAGGTAGCAGATGCGCATGCCCACGTCCAGAAGCTGCTTTCAGCAGACAATTTGGCGACAGTGCTTGCGGATTGTAAGAGCAGCGTTCTGCTGTGCGTTTTTTTTTTTTTGGGGGGGGGGGGGACGCAATGCAAAGAAATGCAGAGAATGTTTCCTGTTTACGGTGGGAAGTGTTTGTCTCGTAAAGCGGTTCATAACTGGATCGAGAAATTCTCTTAAAAACGTTCGAAAGTCGCAGATTATGCCCGACCAGGTCGCCCTGTTGAGATTGCAACAAAATCAACTGTGCAGCGGGTGGAAGAGTTGATTCGAGCTGAAGGAGGATAACGATAGGCAGTGTAGCAACTGCACTAGAACGTTCCCGCAGTTTAGCATACAGCATAATGCATGATCGTTTGAAGTTTAGGAAAAGTGTGCCCATGATAGGTGCCCAGAGAGCTACATGAACGACCAAAAATAAACCCACGGGTCTGTACTGTCAACATCTCTTACGGTATGCAGATGAAGGAGAATATATGCTTAAGAGGATTGTTACTGGAGACGAATCATGGGTGCATCACTACCAACCCGAATCAAAGCGTGCTTCAGTACAATGGAAATATCTCAGGTCACCTCCAACCAAAGAGTTAAGGTTACGCCATCAACTAGGAAGGTTATGCTGGCAGTATTTGGGGATTCTCAGGGAGTACTTTCAGGCCGTTATCAGAAGCGTGGTGAAAATATGAATAATATTGAAG